ACTTATCACCACAAGGTTGCATATAGGAGTACATGGGTTCAGTCTGTATATGCAATACAGAGCCGTGTAAACGTCTCTGTGAGAATCTGGGTGGATTATGCATCTGCGCACCATCTCTCGGTGCCACAAAGGACGGGCAAGTGTGATCTTTGTTGAGAGAGGGAAAAGGAGAGAGAAGGAAGGAGAGGAGAGAGAGAGAATGTCATTTGGCACCAGTGTGCCCACAGAAAAGATGGCCCCCTTCTGCATGCGAGTATGTCTGTAATCTACCTCTACCAACCCCGTGGGGCAGCACACCAGCTGCACTTCACTGCAGCGCCACTCCGCAGCCACCCTGCCAAAATTACCGCCCGCCCTGCATGACATCGGCCTTCGTCGCAGCGAGGGGGAAGGAGGAGGAGGGAAGGGAAAGACAAGAAACATGCAACCAGGTGAGAGAGAGAGAGAGAGAGAGAGAGAGAGAGAGAGAAAAGCAGGAAAATGAAAAGGGAAGCTAGAGAAAGCAATAATGAATAGAGAGACAAGGACAACTGGCAAAGAAATTGAAGATTGGGGGAGAGAAGGCTTAAAGAAAGATATGACCCAGCAGGTTGGAGAATTTAACAACAAGTAGAGGAGAAACAGAGAGGAACGTGACTGACTGGGGCCAACAATGACAATGGGGCTAAAATTCACCCAGAACTAGGTTGAGTGACATAAGGATTAAGAATACATGTACATTAATTACATCACTTCCGCAATTAACATTTACAGATGATTCGACATGTGTGGTCTAATCGGATTTAATGATGTGCTGCTCACACTGTTTAATACAGTGCACAACATATTGTAGCATAACATACTGGATCAAAATGCAGTGAGAGGAGGAGGAAGAAAGTCACAAATTTACAAAAAGCGCACATAGGTTGAAAGAAGAGGCCGTCACTTAAAAAGCTTGCATCTCCACTACAAGTCTGCTGCTTAATTCTCTTGGAGTTGGGAAACATGAACCACTCATTGATCTATGGTTGCCTCCAGGTATCTGATTGGGGGGGGGGGGGGGGAGACAAAAACGTCACCCCCACCAGGAGACGACAAGGACGAGCAAAACTGATGAAGTACTTATTTGAATGGAGGATGAGCAAAGGAGGGGGCTGCTGGCATCAGTCCACCCACTAAAACATGGGGTCTAACCCTACACACAGCCAAGCAAGCAGAAGCAATTATGACATTTAGCCCAATGGAAGGGAGTCTTGAGCTATTAACAGTCTTGGCCCATAACGGTCCCCAAGCGAATCCTTTTGCTATTACCATGACTGGGTTTTATGGCTTGGCAGCAGCCTCATGTGACGTTGAGGCACAAGGGTGCTTCCCCTCAGAATACTTCACATTCTTACTCTCTGCAAAGCAGTAAATCAGGGCAGTCCTACTGAGCGCATGTGTACGAGTGCGGGCAGGCTCGCGGTGCGACCTTGAGAGAGCCGCCGGCAAGATCTTCAAACGGCAGTCAGACACCTGCACAAAGAGCAATCTTAGGGGGTAGGGAGAAGGGTGGGGGGGGGGAGAAGAGCATCCATGCTTCCTGTAAGGAATGATGCATCCAGTTAAATATGCTCTTCCTTTGGGGCAGGTTGGGAGAGAGAGGGGGGGGGGGGTTCTGCTACAACAGCAGACAGGATGTATAATTATCTTAAGACGAGGTACCTTATAGGACAGCGAGAGAGAGAGTGAGGACAAGTAAGGGAGCGAGAAAGTGAGACAGAGAAACTGATGCAAGTTCCCCTATGCTGACTCAACATCACTGAATGCAAGAATTCTTGCCCCCCACCCCCCACCCCCACTTAACTGCAGAAAGCAAATAGTTGGTGAATTTCACACCCACGGTCAAAACACAAGCCAGTAACACCAGCAGGGAAACCGCGCAGCGCAAAGCAACCGCAGACAAACATGGATTTGGAGCAGAGTGGCGGCATGTTGACAGCGCCTCTCAAAGCAAACATGCGCACATGGAATCAGGGGCCTTGTCGGGACGAGAGCATCAGGGCCCCTCTCTCTGCACGGGCTTGAGAGCACAAGGCACTCAGCAAGGTGCTTAAGAGTAGCATGTGGACAGCCACCCAGTAAGAAGTGTTGGATGGGTGGCGAGCAAAAACAGCGACCTAAAGTCAGACACGAGCATTTTTTTAAGCTTGTAGACAGAGCCCTCACCCCCGAAACAAAATAACTGTCCCAAAAGGGAGTATCCAGGTCAGACAAGGACTCTCCTGTTATCAGCCAACTGAGATAAGCGCCCTCAAGTGGTATGAGGAGTTACTATTGTATCATTACCTCCCTGCTTATCAGTGGGATGGCCTTTGAAATCAGAGTCAGATGACAAAAACCCACAAGTCTGAATTTCACAACAGAAGTTGCCACGAGGCAGCATCCACTGTATCAGGCGCAAACCAGTTCATGGCTCGGCTGGTGAATCGGGTCACTTAACAGCTGATCACCACTGGCATCAAACACTTTCTTCAAAAGTTACCCTCACTCTGCCCAATCAAACTCCCCATCCGTCTATTTGACTAACACGAATGTCAAATTTCGTCATTGAGTAATAAAATTAACAGCTATTGTGCTGTTGCGTAGATGAGTCTGTATCAGGCTCACACAAATTTCAGGTAAACATTTTCTCACCCCTACACTAGTTGACAAGGACTGTTGAGAAATTCTGGCATACATTTGTTAGGTGAATATTAAAATAAATTTCAGTCACAACATTAATGCAAAACTCACGACAGGTGCTGACAGCAAGCTGAAAATAGTCACATTTTAGCACTTGACTAATCCTTACCTTTGCCCATGTTCTAAGACAAACTGGAACAGGTGCATATTCAGGTCAGGGGGTGAAAGTACTTAAAAAAACATGACGCAGCACTTCAGCTTATGGAGCGCACTATGCGCACTTCCTATAAATACACGTGACAGTGTTGACAAACAAAGAGCGTTTAATCTTTGGCAAGAATTTTCACTGGATCAGTGGTGGCTCAGCAACATGTTGGACAAATTTAACGCCAAGCAACACAAAGATGCTCATCGCAACAGAACTGAGCCTATTGACGAGAGAAAGCAAAGCCGTTTGACCATTTTGACACTGATCAGTTAACGCAAATGGATCTCAATCAACTGCATCACAGGAAACGATTAGTGGCACTTTTCAGACACGTACGGCTGCTTACAGGAGAGGCCAGTCAGACCTCAGTGCCCTACAGCACTTTTTAAGCAAAGAAAAAAAAAAAGCACTCATGGGTTAAACCTCACTGCATCAAACTGAGTCATCCAGCACCCGGTCCAGAACATCCTGATCCAGTCACACTTCAGAATACACCACTTTCTGATCACTTGCCATTCCTATGTGCTTCTGGGTCACATTTTCACACCGTAAAGGATTTCTGCTGCTGCTTCAGAACAAATCTGACCAAGACCAACCAGAATAATGACTGATCCAAGAACATGACTAAGGGGGGGGGCATGAATGTACACAGCTAGTAAATCACTTCTACTCTATAGTTATTCCTGATTCAGTAACACTGGCCACAACAAACTTTTTCCAGCAGAAATACACTCAAGTTATGAAATATCCAAACAAAGATGATGTGCTGAATTACCTCCCCTTGTTTATAATATTTATTTTATTCCTAATGCCAAAAGACATTTTAAAAAATGGGGTTTGAGAATGGGAATGAATCCATACTGGCCAGAAAGCACTGAATTAAGAACAGCTGCTCAGCTCTGGCTGACAAGTACAGTAAACGGATGAGTGACCGGAGACGACCTTTCATCACACTGCAGCTGCCTGCATTCACACACACACTTCAAGACAATACACCATCTTCAGAGTACTGACCACACAGGATTCCTAATCTCCAGCGTACTATGAGAGGTGTGTGTGGCTGGTATCTTGGCAACAGTGTTGGAACCTTTCTCATGCTGGCAGCTTTTGCTGGGAGAGACTTTGGGTCCAGAAGCACGCCATCCACATGCTGAGCAACCCAGTTATGACTAACCCCTGCACCCCTCTTGAGATTGCCAACAGCTTCTCACAGTAACCTGATCAGTGATCGACAACGCATGCTCCTGGGGCCATGCCTGTGTTTGAACTGGAACTTTCCACAGAGGCAAGAAGGACAGGTCTCCTCGACCTCTCTTAGCACAGCTTACACATCAAGATCAAAGCTGTCATCTTCACATGCATCACCCAGAGGGCTGGGTCTCTCTCCAGACAATGAAAACTCTCATTAAAGTCATAAAGAAGAATTTTAAATTGCTACTACGATTCCATCCAAATAAAGAGCAAAATAAGCAAGTCACCCCCACCTCTTTTTAAGCACCATAGGTCCAGCTTTACACCAGGGACATGGGTTAAACTGCGGGGGTTGCCATGGTAAGGCATCACCTGGGATGGCGAGTCACCACATTTACACACACATCCCGATCATGCTCGCAAAAGCAGTCAAAACCTAAACGCATCTTTAGATACAAGAACGGTAACGCGTAAATAAACACGACACAACAAAATAAGTACCTCTTTATGGAACTAAACTAACCATTACCAGACAAGGCCTGGACACAAAAAAATCCTCACAAGAAACAATGGAAAACTCATAAAACATTTATGTAATTCAGAAAGGTAGTTAAAACAGACTGGTGAGCAGCTGTGGCCAGGCGGCAAGAAACTAAGCGTCTGGAAAGACTACTTGAGTAGCACCTTCTCAGCTCGCTTCACTCGATCTACTGTCCTTCAGACACGTATCCAGTTAGGCCGTTAGCTTGACCTGACATATTAAACCCTGTTTTACACACCCTCGTGTTAAGATGGTGGGACACTCGGCGTACCGCGGAGCACCTTCGCTCTGTGGGGAGCCACCCGAACCGGAGAGGCACGTTCCGCGGAGACAGCGGCTCGAGCGCGGGGCCCGCACTTCGCAGCCCCGAGCCGCCGCCGGGATCACGCTTAAACGCTCTTATACGGCGCCACTCACCATTTCTTTGTGCATTCCACCATGAGCTCCTGGTAAGAGGCCACAAACTGGAACTTGGACGCATGCTTCCCAACACGCTGTAATCTTTTCCACACCGAAGCCATATTTCCTTATCCGCCGATATTTTGTGCAATCCTTCGCTTCCCTTTGTTCGGTCGCTTTAAAAAAAAATCTTTGGTTGCCGGCGTTGCAAAAGTATCCAACAATCTTCGTCAGTCGGTGCACGCTCGTCGCTTACATTTTAAAAACATGAAATAAAACGTACAATGAATCCTATCGTAGGTGATCTCGCTGAGGTGGCATGTCCTCGATGTCTCAGGAGGCCAGCAGATTAAGGGACATGAAATTTCCCCAGCGACAGCAGCCAAAACTGACAGGACCAAGCATGGTTATGGAAGAAAGAACTTTCCCCAATCCTGTATCTTCTAGCCGGCCAGACATTCCTCTCGTCCCCAAAACAACCTGGGGTCTCCAACCTATTGAAGGGAAAACGCACACAGTACACTCGATGACAAAGGAAAATAAAAAGAGAACAAAAAGCCCAATATATTCTTCAAATCTCCGCCTTGGCACAGTTAAGTGACCTAACACGCATCCCTATGTCGGTTTAACTTAATTATCTTCTCGAATAGAGCGAAATTAACATCTCCAGGATTCATTTAATGAGCAATTCATTACATTCTCATTTTCAACTAGGCACTGTGATTTAAAAACGTAAACCAACTTTGAGGTTATTAGTCACGGTATTGCCCAAACTTCTGTAGTTTGTATCAAATCTAACGGAATATCACGCCATATTAAATTTTCAAAATTTAAATCCAGTTCCACGCCGTGCAACACACAAAGCCGAGTTATCCTGGGTGTTATTCTGCAAGAATGCAAGCAGTTAGCACATCTGGCAGATTGTTTTCAGGTTTATCAGATGGCGAGCTGCCCGTATCTAGCGGGCTGTCTGGCAGACGAAGGCACTGATTTGAAGGGGAAAACAGTGCACGTCCATTTTTGCCTACAATGCAATGTAACACTCGCGCTGTCAAGCATACAAATAGCAGGCTCGTGATCATCACGTAGAAGACCGATTTTCATCGCCGTCCTCCCCGGAGACCCAGATCCTACAGCCAGCGTAGCTCAACCCACAGCTGCTACATCAACATCGGCTTCCGTTCGTCAACTAGGATACGCGCTGATTCATACGCTACTTTAGTGTTGTGGCTGGTTAGCCTAATTCCACGCGACCGACACACTGGATAGTTGTTACTAGTTCGTAGCCGCTAGCTACCCGGCTACAATGGAACTTTATTAAGCCCGCAGCCAGAAGACAAGATTGAGCTGACAGGAGTTCACTTTCCAAAAGCATACACCAATTTAAACATTGATCAGCTTACCTTTTTTTTTGTTTAATCCGCCCTCTCGCCTCCAGACTTCGTGTCTGGGAGGCAGCTAACTGCCAGCCACTTCTGCAGTATCAGCCATTTAGCGAGCCAGCTAAAGGAAGGCACCCGCAGGAGGAGTCAGCCCACAGACACCGTTCACCCTGTCCGGTTATTTCAGCTGAACATAAGAGACACTTGGGATTTTCTCAACCAACCGCTTCACAATAAAGACAAGAGAACCCCAACACCAAGGCTGCAAATTCTAACAAACTCGACAATTAAGCATCCATCCATTTTTTCTGTACGTTTAACGAAACGCTAGTTAGCCAGCTAACGCGCACGAAGGACCGCCCCCTGCATCTCCCATTGGTGCCTTTTTGCGAGTGTTTACTCACCCCTCTCATGCAAACTCTCCTTTCACGCCTTAGTTACTGTGCGGCGTTTTGATTGGCAGATCAAAGCGTCCATCATACTATAAAGCCCGCCCACAATCACCAGCAAGTTCGCGTTATTTCGCCGCAATGTAATTTACCCAGCCACTGCCTTGATTCATCATTGGTCGAATCTTAGTACTAAGAGTAAACTGTTTATGCGATTATAGTTTCCCTGTGGTGGTTTACGATGCCTATCAAAACCGTTCCCGAGGTTTAAAGTGTCCGCAGACTTTGCTGCTCTTGCGGCAGTACGGTGACGGGTAGGTCAACATGCGGTCTATGGTTTAATACTGCTACCCTACCAATTTAGGAATCAGGCTTCAGTAAGTCATTGTAGCAGTACCGAAGCACAATTTCCACAGTTTACATCTGCGTATTTCTGGAAAATATAACTAGCATGTTTCCCTGTATGAGCGTTGTCCTGAATTACCCTTTATGTACAGGCTGCATTTAACCTTGCTCCCTAATGTATGTGTTTTGCCTGTCACGAGCTATTGATGTAGATACTATAAAGAGTGCACTAATGCGAATAAAATGTTAATGATCGACCGTAGGGTTGTGTCGGTTCTATTGGTGAATTGTAGAGAGCACAGAACAATGTAAGATTTAAGTAATATGTTATTACATTTTACTCCTGCGACCAGGGCCAAGGTAAGCGCTTTGAAGATGAAAGTATGGATGTATAATGACATTGTAAAAAAGGGGAAAACATTTCTTTCACCATTAGTTGTTCAAGCACTTGAATGTTAAATCAGCAGGAATGTTAAATCAGCAGGAATGTTAAACCAAATTCCTATTTCTAATTAGTTATAGTTAAGAGTCCTACATGTTTCGGTAGTTGTACACCTGACACTTTTTATCCAAAGCAAATTTTCTACATTTATACATTTTACCTGAGAAATTGAGCTTAAGTGCCTTGTTTAATTATACTATTGCAGAGCCTCTTTTGAGACTTTCGGTAGCAGCCTTCAAGGTATGAATTTATGTCCTTAACCACCCAACTATATGCTGCGTCAGGGCAGGGCTTCAGACCCCCTGCACTCGGCTATTAGACCATACAGTTCCTATTGTAGGCACTGATGCACACTAATGTACAAGAATAATTTTCTAACCTGACATGAGGTACTGATGTCATTCTGTGTAAAACGAACGGCGCGTGAAAGTACATGTCTGCATTCCCGTTAAACTCGTGCCAATAATTTTGCTTCCTGGAGTCAAATCAGCACTTGAGGAGATTTTTCCCGAACACAATGCAGCTTTTATGACTCATAATGCGGGAGACAGTCCCTGTTTTTGTTCCTTCTCTGCTTTGTTTATGCCTTTTTATTCCCTGTCATTTTTTAACTGCCCATGTTCCTGTTTCCACCCCATCGAAGCTCTTTGAATCGCTGCTTCTTCGGAAAGGTTTTCCCAGAGTCGTCCTCTGTCAACCCGGGCCCATGCAATCATACATATACTTATAGACACGTGATTCACATTTGCAGTTTGGTGTTTACTTCGGGGGATTGCATGTAATAAGTCACTTTGTTTCCATTTAAACAATTATAAAGGAATCAATATAAAGTGGTTAGACACGGTATCATATATAAAATCGAGGTGTGTGGATGTATCCGGTTGGTGGCACCCTTTTGTAAAATCGGCAGAAAGATTATCAAATGTCTCGGTATGCATCAAAGAATGCTTTGATCTGAAGAGGGTCTCACCCAGAACACTGCCCTTTCTGTGTGAGAGGCAAAGCGCCCCCTTTGATACGCGGTGTCAGAAGGCAGGACGCGCACAGTCAAAAGCATGTAGTGGCCCGATCTTACTGGCACGCAGTAAACAAAGCCCCACCAGTCCCGGAGGAGGTCAGGAGCCGCTCTGTAACTGAGGTACATTTCAGTATTCATTAGGCCAGTTTCATGCAAAGCACCTCCAATAGCTTACAGTTTTTAGACTTCATACACATAAACAGCTGTGCATTTTTTTTAAAAGAAATTCATTCAACACCTGCCTTGTTGGGCGTAACGGCGGGGCCGCTCCTGGGAATCGAGACCGCAACGATTTAGTCATACGGCCAGGTGTTTATGAGCTATGCCGCTTAGTGCTTATGACTGTACCTGTCGACTTTCTCCTTACGGGTTTGCCGATCAACGCGATCAAAGTTGGCACTTCAGCAGTGAGCCTCTTACCCGCCGCTAGTGCTTAGCGTAACTCGCTAAATAATCATCGTGCGGTGTGGAATTTAACCTGCCTCCAGGCTGCGGTTGCTCAAGCCACGCGAAACGGCCTGGAATTCAGCCAGAGAAACATATTCGTTCATGCTCTACTTTAAAGCAAAAAATATGCGCTTGTATTTCAGGTGACTGATGCTGTTGTTCAGACATAATATGGCGCTTCATACCTTCACAGAGCTCCTAGATGAACTAAGTAGGACAGTGGTTGTGAGCATATGTTTGAAGCACATGGATGTGCATCATTTGTGAATGTTTGTTCTTCTCCACATTGAATGCAAAAAAAAATAATGTAAGTATTTCACAGGAGATACTTATGTAAACTAATGCTCCATTAACAAAGAAGTACATTTTCACTTGTGGGTGCAAAGCCAGAAGATCTACATTGCAAATGCACTTGAACTATATCAGGCATGGTCTAGTTTACATATTTCTGACGATCGTTGTCTTTAAATATCAGTCTGTAGGTGCATACTACCTTGCAGCTATACTGTACCGTATCGCGTTTTCATCTTCCAAGCCCGCCGTTTCCTGTTTGCCTCCCCTTGGTAATACGAGCGTTACACTGGCCTTTAAAGATAAGCATCTTTACAGTAAGTGATGCCACATCGAGTCATGATGGACTCGAGTCTGGCAAGACTCCAGGCCATTCAGGAAGTGGAGAACTCTCAGACGGGTCCTCCTGCACTCAGGATAAAGGCTGGGGAAGGATGCATTTATGCCGCCTCTCGGGGAGGCAGCAAACAAAAGATGGGAAACGTATACCCATTCCGCTAGAGCCTGCGGGTCTGCGCCATAAAGGGGGAAAGAGACCCCCGGGAAAAGATTTCTGCTTTCGATGCTACCTAGCTAGACTCTGGAAATGAGAAGACAGAAATGGGTTCGTCTTATAGGATGTCAGCAGTTGCTCAGACTGTCCTCTGATCTCTTTAACAACCTCATTAAAACAACGTGACTAGAACGAAGTATGATGTGACAGAGAATATTTATGTACGGAACAATTTTATATCCGCTTTTCTTTACAGTGGTTAAGCATAAACCAGACTAATAGCAGAAGGGCTACAGTTAAATTTTTGTCTTCTCTTTTTCTCCTGTGAAAGTTGATGAACTTGTAGCTGCTTGTTAATAGCTAGATGGGAGTAGAATGGGTCGAAAGAGTTTAAACCACCACAAGACGTGAGAATCCGAGAAAGAATGGGTATTTTACTGGTGGCTGGTTTTTCCCTTTTTGGGTTACTGGGACAGTGCAGAAATGGGGTCAACACAAAACCAGCAGGGCATATGCATACAAAAGAAATTTTATATGGGTGTGAGTTAAGAGAAAAGGTTATAACTCGGGCATGGGTGTGGGGGAGGGGGGTGCTGTCAAGCAAAGGGGGAATGATGACATTCATGGTCTAAGATCTGGGGGGGGGGGGGCGGAGAAAAATTAAACATTTATTTTGCAGATACTTTAGATGTGTGGATCACAGATCATGGTCAGCTTGTCCCTGGAGTGATTGTGCTTAAGTGCCTTGATCAAGGGCCCAGTGGTGAAATTTCCTCTGCTAGCCATGTGATGTGAACCAGCAACCTTTTGATCGCGGGCACAGAATCCTGACCTGCGGAGCCACTGAGCCGCACGCTACCCCACAACCACACATTTACTGTATAGTACTGACACAACTAGGAAGCAGTTGACCTGACTGAGCACAGCGCTCCCAGTGACCTGCCCCCCATTAACATTAACACATTAATGATCAGCTCTCTTTATTGATACTATACAAATTCTCACATTGAATTGCAGAGCTACTCTGCAAACATTTAATCATCATCAAAGTACAAGTACTGCGCTTTGGAGGTGAGACCACAGAACAAGGCTTTTCAGACAGGAAACCAGGGAAATTGGGAGAGAGCTATGAATGCGAGATCACACAAGTAATTATGAATTAAGTACCGACTGGCTTTGCCTTCTTTTTCAGGAATGGGTTCCCGCTTGAATACTCTTGGCACCAACCATGAGAATTGTACTTTATTATTTCATTTTTTTGTGTTGTGTGAATCAATCAAATGATAATGCCAACATTTCTCTGATTAATGAAACATCCCTGCAGAGCCTTGCAAACTACTTAATGGACCACAGGTTTGAAAGTCCTGCATTAGAAAATAACGAAAATAAAGTCTTGGTATGTGAACAGATCTGTGAGATGTGTCGAGTTTGTCCACATAATGTTGGGGGGGGTTAAAGGGCACTGTGGACGCATCTGGAAAGAATTAGAGGCTTGTTTTCTTGACCTACCTTGACTGCAGAGCCACCGATTGTCTCTCTGGTCCCTTGAAAAGTAGTGACTCGCAGTTGAGATTTTACACCCGTGAGCTCAGTCCAACACAGGAAACTCATGCTCCTCTCCCACCCCCAATTTTTCATGTCATATAAATAAAAATCTAATCACTGGTTGGGCTGGAGCCTCTAAGGAGATGAGAGCAAGAGAAATTACAGGGTTCAGTGAGTCCCTCCAGATTTCCTGGTACTGAACCTTAGGTAACATTCATTGTTTTAATTATCAAATACTGTCAACTGCTGCAGGACAGAAGGACTTGAGAATAGGAGTAGACTGTAGAAATACATAACACACTTCTTTATCTTAAATATCTATATTGTTTTGTATCTATTCATATATGTATCTTTAAATATGCAAAAAAAACAAAAGAAAAGCAGAGGGACATGACCCTTGAGAAATTGCAAGCCAGGTCGAGTTTC